ATCAACAAATATATATAAATAAATGTCAGTCACTCCATCAGTGCAGCTAGGTGCTCATTCCAAAATGTAAATTCGAATGAAGGAGAACGAGGATGAACAGAGTATGTTCTACAATGTCTTTGATACATATTCCAATACTGTACGTATATGTGAGAACAGTGCAAAGACAAGCTTGGCGCATTTATACAAATTACAAAATTTACTAAAATAAAAAAGCAAAACAGGGGCCAATTCTCGGCTTTAGAGATGATGTCGAACTCGACAAAAATGTCTAATGACGTCATTTTTTCGTCAAATTTTAAAAGTTGCTATTCTGGAGATGTCGAATGCGACATTTGTCGAAGGCTAACGTTAGAGTTCATGTCGAGTGCTTCTGAGCAGTAGAGATGGCATGTCGATTGTAGAGATACGCCATTTCTGAGTGAATTCGTTTGATTTTGGGATTGTAGTGTCTTTTTTCTTTCGTTTTGAAATAAAATACGGCTTTGCATCTCATACCTACTGGAAATTCGATATAGACTTTTCGATTTGTGCATTCTCTACAATGAAGCACTTAACTCGTCGAGCACCGTTATTATAGACACAATTAAAGAACAATAGGTTGCGGTCACCGGTGTCCGCTTGGTGTTTGACAGTTTAAGAAAACGCGATCCACTATCGAGCGTTGTAATGGAGTGCTAAAGGGCCGATTTAGGTGTCTTTTAATACTTTAAAAAAAGGATAGGGTGTTACATTACACACCTAATAAGGCTACTAAAATAATTAACGACTGCTGTGTATTACACAATTTGTGTATAGCCCACAACTTTGAATTCTCTGATATGCCTGAAGAGAGAGAGTTAAGCATAATTATAATAGACCTTCCAACCACAACAGGAGGCAATATTTATTTCAATATAGGCAGAAATATACAACAAAATATAATTAATAATTACCACAAAATGTTTATAAAATTGTTTTATTTATTAGGTACCTTAATTTTATAAGTAAATACATTACTAATTTAAAAAAAGATATGGTAAACATTCAATAAGTTTATAGTTATTATTACACTAGTAGTTATTACACTTTGTAAAAGAAAGTTAAAACAGCTACTCGTTAAAGTATCAAAGTCTGTCAAATTTCATAACCTCAGTGACACACTTTTTCATTATAAAGTTAGACTAATTACACAATCACAGTACAGTCATTTAAACAATATTAATCTCAGAAAATTAACAAATAAACTTTACATCTATATAACAATAATGATGGCAGAATAATGTAAATAATGAACAATGATTTTTAAATCATTTGTGTATATGTAAGTACATAATGCAGACTTTTAACAGACTAATTATAAAATCACAGCAGTACAGTCGTTTAAACAATAATAATCTAAATAAAAAACAATCATTACGGCATAAATGTAAATATTTAACAATCATTTGGGTGCATGTATGTACCTCTACATAATCACATAACTTAGAGGTAGAGTGTTAGCAGACTAATTATAAAATCACAGCTTAATCTTTCTCATAATAATAATAATTATTATTATATTCTTTAAAAAATAACTTTAAATGTAAACCAAGATCAGGATTTTTACAATTAAATCGATTGTAAACAGTTTCTTGATCATTAACTCGTCTATGCAATTAAAATCATCAAATAGTACTGAAAGTAGAATTGCCTCGAGATCCAGAGGTCTCTTGAGCAGCCATATACATGCCGACTTTTGCAGTACTCGGTGTGGCTAAATCTGAAAAAAAGAAACAAAAAGTCACTCTAATTGCAATATAATTATATAATAATAGCAGTATGGGAACTAGAAAATTCAGAAAAACATAAGTTTTACCAAGGGCATCTATGTGGCCAACAAGTGCAGCTGTACAAAATTTGGCAAGCACCAATTGTTCCTTTTCATTTCATTGTTCTGGTGGTGGACCTCTACCAGTCAACATAGATTGTCTTCTAATTGTAGCTAATTTTTGTTTTATTTTTGCTTTTGTCTTGCCGACTCTGAAATAAATTTATTATGTTAGTACCAACATATTATATACGTGGACAATGAAATCATATACAAAAATAAATAAATTACTGACAAGTAGAGAATTGGAAAACATTGCGGTGATTGTAAGTTATGAAAAATAAGTATTAAAACGGTTGAGTCATCTAGAAAGGAAGATAAGTGAGTCGGTAACCATTGTACTTACTTCGCGCCAACCAACCCAAGATTTTTTGGCACCGGCCACAGCATATTTTAACTGTTTAACGATGGCATCTTCTTCTTTGAGAAACTGTAGGAGAATTTACCTCCCCTCAATTCAATGTCTGCTTCAATGAGTTGAACGAGTAATTGTTTTTGTTGTGGACTGGGGTATTTTTTCCCCTCCATGTTAAAATACAAAATTATCACATATAAAACAGCACAACCCACTAGTGAGTTATGTAAATATTGTAAACACAAAAGTTTTGAAACAACCGAAAAAAAATGCAAATTATGACACTGACAGACAGTCAACTATCAAACTGATTATTTTTGCACTAAACGTTCCGTTTTAACTTAAATAATTAGGTTTAGTGAACGTTTTATGACAAAATCATTCATTCACTCATAACTACCTAAAATGGAACGTGCGATTCTGCATAATGGTAACATTATCTTCACTCGACTCGACATTTTCGTGACATTTATTTCTATTTTGACTGAGAATACGGATTTCTGTGCAATTCGACATTTTTTGGTAGAGATAGAGATATTTTTGATAGACATAGAGATAGACTTACAATGTCGAACTCGAGATAAATGGCGAAAATCGAGAATTGGCCCCCAGACATAAAAAAATCTTACAATCTAACTTGGTGCTCATATATGCATACTTCATAAGTGCTTCTATACAAGAAAAAGGATAGGGGGCCGAGGAGTTTCAATAAACTGACTATAACTGACTTGACATGTACAAGTGCCGTCTGCATCCAAAGTAAATATGCAACTGACTGTGTATGACATGATCATTTCGTATGCTATGTTGTTTGTATTGTTCTTAAGACTCCTTGCCCTCTGTAATCAGTCTGCATATACGATAGAATTAACGTTTTCTGTCCCAGTATTAGTAGATTAGTACACTTTATAAAATGATTGCCAAAACTATCTTACCTACAACTTATCATCATTAGCTAGATTTCTATCAATGAACAAAACTTCATCATATAAATGTCTTAAGTTGGTTATGATATTTATCAATTGTTTTATACATTTAATGGCTTAAGGAACTTGTAATAAGATAGATGGTCATTTTCGCATAAACGATAGTAACAACCAAGCAGCTTTTCAATACAAAAACCCACAGCCAAGTATTAAACAAACAATACAAAAGGTAGACCGTGTCACCATGAATCCACAAAACAACGCTAGTTACATGAAATTTCCATGTAGTACCCTCAAAGCGAAGCTACAGTTTAGCGGCTCTTTGTTACCAGATACGTTTGTAACACCAATAGGCCGATAACTCTGGAAACTGGGTCAGTCTGGCTTTCCAACAAATTAATCACTCCACAGATTGGCTTGAAATTGACGCGAACAGCATCAAAGGTCGACGTTGATACCTGAAACATTATGCCAGTAGAGTTATCTCCGTAATGGAACACTTTGGTCAAATTAACATGTAATTTTTGCGTGTTCTGCGATGTTTATCTCTTTTAATTATTGAATAATTTTTGTACCTTGATGTTATAGTGTGTTCTATCGTCCTTATCGAGTTAGTAATAGTAAATTTTGTCACATTGCCAATTTTAACGTTTATTTCTCTTTGTCCACAGTCCATGATCCAGCTAAAAGAACGAAAAGAAATGGACGAAGCTTTCAAGAAGGCACAGAAACCCTGGGCGAAGTTACTGCAAAAGGTGGAACGCACACGATTGGAGTACCACACTGCTTGCAAACAGGAAAGAACAGCACAGAACCAGGAAAGGAATGCCAGTGGAGACAGCTCGCTTAGTCCAGATCAGGTTAGTGGAATATGGAGATACCTAAATCTTGATTGATCTGAAGGGTGTTGGGTTTTGGGAATGGTCCTGATGAAGGACACGAAATACTTCTTATACAGACAGATGAATGAATGAGGAGGGAAGTTTAAGTTCTGTTCGAAACTGTTGTATGACATAATGCGGTAGAAGTTTTTAAGTCTAATGCTATAACTTCACGATGCCTACTATACAAAGGGGTTTAACTGTGTACAGTAAGTGACACAGCAGTAAAATTATTTGTAGATGAAATGTAATTTAAGATGATTTTAAGACCGTAAGGAAACTTTTGGACGATTGAATTAAACGTTGATTTTTGAACTCATTTATGGGTTCTATCGCTTCAATACGCATGATTTGAAATATCGGTTTTGAAATGGTTAATGGAAATTTTCCAAAAGAACCCATCATTGGTTTAATTTAGACATGGTTTCGTACAAATATATTCCTGAACGCAAAATTATCAAAAGAAAACCTTTTATATTTATAACAAAGAAATAGAAAGCACAATTTTTACACTAGAAGCGAATTTCTATAAAAATATGGAATACACAAATAAACTGAATGAGAAAACACAGAAAGCCAATCTTCATTTAGGTAAGAATATTTCCAACGTGTAATCCAGTTTTGTATTAAATAAAGCAGAGCTTTTGTTTGTATATAGAAAATATTTTTATCAATAAACTTGCTTCGTCCATAATACCTGGTACACGTGTACGTAAGGATGGTTACACACTGCTGTGTGAACGAAAAAGTATCAATTTTGCGCCAATAACTGGTGATTGATAGACCACATCAATATGGTAGTCATCTTAGATACTCTCATCCGTTGAGTTTTTACAAATCTTGACATCACAAATTATCCAATCAGTATGATCCACACAATATCTTGTGTATAATCCTGTGTGATCCATATCCTTATCCATGCTATAATTGTATTTAAATCCATATTTTTTAGTGGGCTGTGTAGCACACTATTGTAATGATGATAATTCCATGAGTGACGGAAAATACACGTACAAATACCTCGCCTATGCCTTCATTTTGTCGTGGAGAACCTAACGGGTTACCGGGGCTCGAAGCGCAGGAGAAGGAACGGGATGGTTTTTAGTCAGTAAGAGTCTGACACTCCCTCCCGTCTCACCCAGGCGGGAGTAGTCATTCGATGTATTTACCCCCTGAAAAAAAATTTTCAATGCAGCATTCGTATCGACGAGACGGTGTTCCCGTCTGAAGTAGTCTGAACCTCGATCAATACACGTGGGATTCCTTCTTTATAACATTTGTAGACAGATATTTTTACATCAACTTCCTCTAGTTGTGTTGGAAATTTATATTTCTGGATCATATTTAGGTTGGATCTATTTTTGGAAACAATTTATTTTTTTATCCTCAATGATGAGCTTCTTCTTTTATTGAATTATTTTTGATGGTGTAATAGCAATATGTTAATATTATTTTCGAATCTCTCTGAATAGATATTACATAACATTTAGGAAAGTTTTAAATACCTTCAAAATTGAAACTATTTTTTTTTTAAGGGGGAAAATTATCGAATGAAATGGAAACGATAACTTCTAGTGTTATAGACGTCCATATGTTAAGCGATAACTGCTATCCATCTGACAGGCCCTAGTTCGCCACCTCTAATATAAAAAATCTTTTAGTATGAAACACCGTCTTCCTTCGACACAAATTCAAATAATATTTAGACATGTATATCAACGTTGATCACGCCCAATATATTCGAGATAGCCTCGAGAGCGATATTTACTTAAACGACCTATCTCTTATCATTTGATTGACTTATCAAGTTAACATAACCAGTCCATGAGGTACCGACAGATGTGATAGTGGTACTTGTTTAACCAAAATAATTTAAAAATAAAATAGCAATATTTTTAGGTCTTATTGACCTATTTACCCGAAGATGTCTACAGATCTCTTGTTTAAGGACTTTGGGAGGCTACATAGCAATGATATTTCTGACTGGCTCTAGCGCAAAATAAAGAAATTCTTATAGATGCTTATAAAGCAATCAAACAGTACCAATACTGATCTACAGATCCAAGATCAAACTAGCAACATTGAATAGATAAATTGACATACAAGTACATAATAAATCCTCCGTGTATTTGATGGCAATCTATTCAAAGTTGGAACATTTCCTTTACTATAGCATAGCGTGATAATCCCCCATTCGTCGGTTCCGCGTCCAAATAGCCAGTAATTCGTGAATCATCGCCAATCGACGCCTGCGCAACATTGTCGGAATGTGCTATCCAATCACCTGTTTTGTACGATTTCTAACAATATACACTGCAATCAGGTCGAGAACTATTTTAAGGTTTAAAGTACAGGATGTTTTACTTTGCTATTTCATCTTGAGTGATGTAAGGCGGTTTCGTACATTGAACTAGCTTGTTGCAATGTTTGTTTGAACATTTTTAGGGGAGCCTGTAAATGAAGATTTTGCTCTCGTGGCGTGAATCATTACTCTCTTAATTTTAAATTTAACATTGAAGGAAGAAAGAGTGACACGCACGTAGTATCCGATTAAACTAATTTTGTTTTTCCGAAGTCATGTTCTTCATAGACTCGGGAACTTTTACAAGTCCTAGTTTTAACAGAAGGTTCTAAAATCTGTTAAGAAAACTGCTTTACATCCTTATTGTTAATTACTGTCACCTTCCTGAGCCTAGCAATTCCTAACGAATAATAAAATGTAGAACAAGAAACAAAACATGTAGGTACAATTTGTAAGCTTCCGAAAACTACAACATTTCGCAGAAAACGAACGTATCCGCTGCGGTTTTTTGAAACATTCTTATAATTTCGCAAGTCAGCCTCCCAGTAATAATAAAATATTTCCTTCTGCTTAAAGCTGTAGTTTCCTGTCCTGACAAACATCTAACGAAATAGTTGTACACCTCGTAAAATTATACGTTTTCTTCTAAACTATAACTTTTACAGAATAGTAATAAGTTTGGAATAATGTTCAAATTATTCTTTCCGTTATTTAACTATTGAACTGACTTTTCTTTATCTGCTTGTATCTTAAACGACTGTCTAAAAGTGTAAATTTTATGACAAGAAATATTCGTTTGAGAAACCCTATTCGCGTATTCAACTTCCGTATATTTTCATACAACTCTACGACTATCAGATAAAACAGTAACAATAACGTATTAAAACATTAACTGATCTAGAAGCCAAACGGCACATAAGGATCTGTAAATCTACATTTGAAAACTTGTCATAAAATCCTCATTTTACTACAATATTCTTATTTTATTACTCCACCACATATGAGCTACTTAACAGTTTCCCAACAAATTACAAGATGGCAGATTCACAGGCAATTAGTTGACGACACGATTTTAAATCGCATTAAAGTGTTCCAAAAAGAAAGTTCCCGATCTAATTAAGTACGAATTCGTTCCAAGTCTGGAAGACAAATTAGGGAAATTTCGACTTAAAAAGTTCCACTTGACAGTTTCAAAGTCGATTCTACTTGTAGAATATAAGACTTAATTTGGCTTGCAAGTTTGAGTGGAGTTTCGATTTTGAACATGTTTCGGAATGTGATGTTGACACGATAATGTTCTTGTAACCTGATTTAAATACTTGATAGATTTATTTCTCATACATTTGTTTTCATTGTAATTACCTAGATGAGTGATTTGATACTAAGAAATAAATAATCGTAAAGGAAATGACGCCATTATCACGTATTCTGTTTCTTAAGTTTCAAATACTTAATTTAGATCTGTGGCTTATGGATTTTGCACCCAAAATCCAGTTTATCATCTTTATCTAAGTCGATTGATGATATTTTCTTTATAACTTAAGTTATACCTAGACTTGGAACCTATCCAATTCGCTTTTATGGCAATAAATCTATTTATTAGCGGCTCCAAAGACATACATTTTCTTTTCGTGCTGTGGGACCACCACAGTATCACTATTCCCAAAAACTACGGAAACACACAATTGTAAGCACAAATTACTATACCCATTATTATAATTCATGATTTTATTTAAAGAACGGTAGCGGTAACCTGTTGATTGTTACCTACTGTGTAAATTCTAACTCACGCAATGTTATTTTGGGAGAAATGGTCTCGTGTTACCGCAACCACTACTGGCTCAAACGTAAACCACAGACATACAGACGATGTGCTAAAATTTTGGTTAGCATATGAGGACTTTTTCGGAAACTTTATGGTATATGAAAGCTGATGGGCAGAATATTACACGTAAAAATAAAGCGATAACATTAATAAAATATCAATCAAAAAGTGTATATAATAAATAAGTAACAAAGTCTACAAGTTTACATGTAAACAGAATGAACTTCCCTGTGCCTGCTTCAATCGATCGACTAAAGTTCTTTGCCCGGCACAGTTTAAGCCACAAGAACTGTCCTTGCAGCGTTTCTGAATGTTATATCTTCCTATCTTTATAAAGATTACGTTTGTTAGTGGTATATAAACTCGTAAATGGCTGGCTCGGTCTGGCTAATTTTTAACAGTTGTGCGAACTATGGAAAGAATTAAACTTTAAAGGCTCAGAAAATATGAACAAAGAGAGTAGTAGAAATCTATTTCTACAGCAGTATTTTTCTAAACAATCTTCTTCCTGTTGATCAAAGTGTGTTTTAGTAAAAGTAAAGGTATACCACAACCGCATTTTGTGGCGTTTCATTCGCCAGGTCAGCCAATCTTCAATATTAGATGCCTGTAAGTCTAGGGTTTACTCTAATACCAATAAATTGTAGCTTACATTTACAATTTACTTCTACGATATTTATTTGCTGAAGCTTTCAGTGTTTTGCGAAGGTAATTTCGTTAAGGTAGAAGCTAGGTTTATTATCGTTTGTGTCTGTATGTGTAACTATATTAAGGTTTTCTTCTGCAATATTATTATGTAGTCTAGTCTGGTTTTCTTTATCATCTTCATTAGTATTTTCACTTTCACTTACT